CCCCCCCCCCCCCCCCCCAACTTTATCTCTCCTCAGCCCATTGGGGCTTTATTGTTGGAACACTGCAAGATCAGCAAAGAAGAAGAAAATGTCTTTTCCATCAGTGAGTGCTTTAGAAAGGGTCGTTGGGGTGTTTGTGTCAGGAGCAAATTTTGGTGGGCAACCTTTTTTCCCTAGCAAGTTTGCAGCACTTTTTTTTAACATTGAGAATACAGCAATTCAATCTAGTTTTGTTGGCTCTGACTGGCAGTTGCTCTCCCTATTTGAGGCACAGTTTTTTCCCAACCCCTCTCTAGTAGACACTGGACTTGAGAGGGAGGAAGATGTATCAAAATGTTTGCTCAATACAGCTCCCTTTTCAGGCAGCAGTAGAACAATTGCTTCTCCTGTTCCCTAACTTAGAGGGAAGCCAGGGGAATCCTGCATAGCTGGGTGAGAGAGGAAGGTCTTGGGAGTGACTAACCAGGAAACAGGACTTGGGGAGATAATTCACATAATTCAGCTAGTTCAGTGAAATCTCAACAGTCCATGGCCACAACTGCAATACTGTGTAGAGCTCTGGGCATTCCAGTCTCAAAACAGATAACTGTATAGCTTCAGATCCAGCCTTCCTCCATCTTTTTACTTGGGAAAAACCCTTCAAATAATTTTCAGGTCTCAGGAAACCCCTGCATAGAAGCAGCAAAAAAGAAAAAACTTTTCCCTCCCTCCCTCCCGTATTGGCCGCCCAACCCCAGTGGACTCTGGGCAGCCTACACAATCCACGTTTTACAGTGTTTACAATAGCAGTAAAGTGGCAGGCTGGCAGCTTAGTCATGGTGTGTAAAAATTCCCACCACTGTGAGCACTAGCATTGTGTGGCGCGTGAAGTTCACAAATATATATATATTTTTTAAAATCATGATCTCTTGCAGAACCCCTAGTAACATCTTGTGGAACCCGAGTTGAGAAAGGCTGATTAGACAATCAAAACCATCAGAAAGTTTACAGAGGCTAATAAAAGTATAAAGGAGGTGAAAGAACTGAATAATGTTTTTTCCATATATATCAAACTAAAAAATCACAAGGATCCCACAAAATTGATTAGATAGTAGATTCAGGACAGCTAGAGAGTAGCTCCAAGCACTGTTTGTTTATTTTTGTTAACAAAATGTACACACAGTAGATTTTCATTTTGCAAACCAAGCCCTGTTAATGGACAGAATTCACTGCTGTGGGATGTGCTGGTGGCCCTTAGTTGAGATGGCTTCAAGGGGGCACCAGATAGCAAACGACAATTAGCAACAGAGTGACCAAGTGGTCATGGTCAGTAGTAGTCTGTTATTGAAAATAGGCTGTGGAGTGGCAGGAATGTGAAAGCTTATTGCCAGTCAGTGGGCTCCTTGTGGACTTCTGATTCATCACTATGGGAAACAGAATTATGATTTGGGTTTGATCCATCATAATTGTGTTTTCGTTTTGTTTTTCCTTCAAAAGTATTCTCGTGCATCAGGCCTAAATTTCTTGGGTGAGCTTGTATGCATAAGCCTGCGTTTTCAAACCTGTAATTTGTATAGCTAAAAACTATAGGAACATGGCACACTCTTCTCTCAGAATCTTTTACTCAGCCTTGTAGATCTTGCAATGTAGATCTTGCAACAACATGTAGAACAGCTTTTCACATTTAACAAGCGATCATTGTTGGAGCAATAGCCCCCATCTCGCCTCCAAGGCCAGCATCTTATCTCTTGGCCTGGTGAGGGTGTGAGCTTGCTCAGAGTCTCCTTGAGTACAAAGACAGAGTTTCCATAAAGAGGGGAATGAAATACCGCTTTCAACTCGAAGCATGGCAGTTGCAAAAATTATCTCTGATTTTTTTCTTCCGTGCTGGCTTGCAAAAAAAGTTTGCCTTTCCTGTCTCTTTAGCAGGCTAACTCTGGCCAGGCTCAGACTGCAGACAGAATTCTAAACTAAATGCAGTTGATGTAATCACATAATATTCTAAGACACTGAGACACAACTACCCAGCCTTGTCCAATTTCCTGCTTTCAAGCCATGCCAGCTCACATATGCAGTAGAATATACTGCATTCCTTCTGGTGGTGGAAAAGTCACATTTTAATGGAATTACATTTGTTAATATGATAATCCAAGGTGTTCTTCAAATGGGTAGAATTTTTATAGCCATGGTAAAGCAAGCTTTAGTTTGACCCTGTTTGGACTGCTGTAATTTTCTGGCAGGGTCGACACATAAAATTAACCTATACATCAGGAGTGGGCAGTTTTCCCAGGGGTGGGAGCATGAGTAGCATCCCCAGAAGGAAGGTCACAGGAAAGGTGGGGCTGATTTGGGAGCGTTTTTTTAGGGGGGGTGTCTGATTTTTAAGGCTGGAAGTGGGGATGGTCAGACTCTGGGAGAAACATGTTTAAAGACAATGTTGTCAGGAACTCAAAATGAACAGCAATGTTGCTGAGTGTAATGGGGGTCCTTTGCCAATGTCTGTGCTGATTGTGATGGGAAGAGTTCTAGAATCCTTTGCATCTGGGCTTGAAAATCGGCGTAGCCTCTAGTTGGTTGGCCCATTAGCCTCTGCTTAGGTCAGAATCTCTCTTCCATGTAAATGTTTTTCTGATTAGGGCTTTCACTGCCATTACCATCATTTAGGGGGGGTAAATACCCATTCCAGGGAAGTCAAGTTGAAGACATCAAATTGAGCAACAGGAACAGCCTGGTTGACCATTTTGTGGGCTTGTTTTTCTAGGCTTCCTTGAAGAGCCAGAGAGGAAATACTACTTTGAATGCGATACAGAAGAGCAATGCCAGGAATGGATTGAGGTCCTTCGCAGGGCCAGGTGAGGTCATCTCATCATCTAAAGGTTGATAAATCCTTTTTTCTCTTTCGTGTGGTACCCATCAAATACAAGCCTGAAGGCAGAGACCATGTTGTATTTGGTATATTTTAATCTTTCTTTGGCACCTACAACAGATTTATTAATAGCAACTATAACTGTATGTGCCTTGAAACCATTCCATGTGGACATAGCCTACATTGGGGCTGCTTTGGAAAAACACTCAAGAAACTTCAGGAAGTCAAGCAAACAGACTGTTGGAAGTAGCAGGATACAGAGAACATACAGTTCTTCAGTTACAGCATTTTACAGCCTCCCAGTCAATTTCTATGCTTTGAATTGATTATAAAGCCTTACAAGAGTGGTGTGCAATTTGCGGGTCTTCTTGGACTCACAGCTTCTGCTTCATGAGCAGGTGGCAGCTGTGGCCAGAAAAGTCTTTGCACAGCTCCATCTGGTGTGCCAGTTGAGCCCTTTCCTGGATTGGGGAGTCCTTCAGGCCCTGGTCACCTCATGGCTTGACTACTGCAATGCACTCTACATGGGGCTACTCTTGAAGACCACCCAGAAACTTCAACTGGTCCAGAATGCAGTGGCACGGGCAGTGATGGCATGTCTTAGTATGTCCACATAACACCTTTGCTTCATGAGCTGCACTGGTTGCCAGTTTGCTTCCAGATGCAATTCAAGGTGCAGGTCATTACCTATAAAGCCCTGCGTGGCATAGGGCCTGGGTACTTGTGGAACTGCCTGTCTCCCATAGTATCTGCCTGGCCAAATCAATCTGGCAGCGTTGGCACACTCCAGGTTCCTTCAATTAAACAATGTCATCTATTGGGACCCGAGAAGCGTACCTTCTCTGTAGCAGCGCCTGCCCTTTGGAATGAGGTTCCCCCCAAGATTCAAACGGCCCCCACCCTGCTGGTGTTTCAAAGGGCCCTGAAGACCTTTGCACAGGCCTTTGGTGAGGATGATTGAAGCCCCCTTTTTTCTTCTTCTTCTTAAGAGCTAACATCTGGGCGGTTTGAAAGGTACATCCTTTTTTGACAGGCTTTTTGGACAGTGTGATTTCTAAACCATGATTTAAGGCTTAAGAATGTTAAGGCAGCCATTTGTGGTTTATTTACTGAGTCACAGTTTAACAGAACAAGCCAGAGTTCCTGGGGCTTTGGAACTCCCTGCCAAGGGAAGCTAAATCTTTCTTGACTTTTCACCAACAGGATTTTTTTCTGGGTATTTAAAATAGCTTGTTGTGAATTGGGACTGTATTTGATGAATGCTATTGTAGTGTAATGTTTCATTACATTTCATTAACATATTGTAATATTTCCAGAACAGTATGAGGATTCCTGCACTTGGCAGGGGGTTAGACTAGACGACCTCCAAGGTCCTTTCCAACCTCAGGATTCTATGATTCGCTGGAGTTTGAAACTGATTCTACTATTTCTGTATTTTATTATGAACGGTACTGGAAAGGAGGGATATAAATGTAGTAAATACAATAAAACTACAGCTTAATGCTGGGAGCTGATATAGCCCTTAGAGCCTAAGAAAATTCACCTCCTCTTACTGCACAATTCAACTGTTTGATTTGTTCCTGGGGTGAAGCTTGTCTAAGAAGCACTGGAGAGAATAGGTTCTTCTCTGCTGGGCAGCATTTCTCTCTGAGGTGACCATCAGAGGGTGGAATGGTCACTCCAAGTGAATCAATCAGTCAATCAATCAATCTTGGGCCAGTTCTTTCAGTTGTCCTATTCTCCTTCGATCTACAGTTACGAATTCATGAGAAGCAGCTTGATCTTTTATCGGAATGAGATCCAGAAGATGACCGGAAAGGTAAGCCTGTGCCTGCACATGCCAGTTCTTATTCCACAGCATCCTGATTGTCAAGAGCAGTGTTTCTCAACCTTGGCAGCGTTAAGATGGGTGGACTTCAACTCCTAAAATTCCCCAGCCAGCAAGAGGAGAGGTTGCCAAGGTTGAGAAACACTGGTAAGAGTATTTGCAGGTCTTTGGAATGCATACACCAACCAGATTCACACATCCCACTAAGTTGCACTGTGAATTGTTTTGATTTCGGGTGTGTTGTGAGAATGAAGTTCTTACGGTTTGTAAATCATGGTGTATAGTTCTGTGTTTGTGTGAGCCCAGCCAATTATGGCTTATCCAATAAAATGTTTGAAATTGGCTTATCTCCATGTGCAAGTGTAAACTCCTCACTATGGCTTGGAATAAGTTTGTGATGCTGTTTGAGCGGGCTTTGGATTCTTTGGATTTCTTTTACAGTGGACAATATAGGACAGCTACAATTCTGAAGGCATTTGATAACTTGCTAGCTAGAAGATAGCTTTTGAAGTGAGACAGGGAAGACATGAATAGCGTTCTGTTCCTATTCTCATGTGAGTTCCAGATAAAATTGTATACCTATTTGGGGAAATGTGATTTCAAGAGACTGGGCATAAATAGAGCTGAAATCTCACGAACATCTAATGTTTAGAGTCCTCCAAAGCCTAAGTATGAATTATGGAAGTGTTAAGATTCTCAAATCAGGTACAGGAGCAAAAGGCAACCTGTCACGTTGTTCACCACCTGGAATGATGCATCTGTTAATTTGGAAGTAGATACAGATGACCTCAGTGGAACATATGCCAGATGAGTGTAGGTAGCTGGCAGTTTTAATCAGCCTAGGAGACAGAAGGGAACACACGTGACTTGCTGGAACAACCTATCAACATTCCACCTTCTTGCCTCTTCGGCTGCAGGACCCCTTGGAGCAATATGGCATCTCAGAGGAAGCCCGTTTCCAGCTGGGGGCACGGAAACTTTAACCCGCATAAGGTGAACAGGAGCGACTCATTCTCTCCTCCCCTACAGTGGGCCAAGCCCAAGCCTTTCAACAGCATCTCCACCGCTGAAATGTCAACAGAGTAAATTCTCTTTATTTTTTTTATGAACTTAAGGGGGGAGAGGGAATCCATGTCTTTTTTTTTTTTTTTTTTTTTAACACACACTGTCCACATATGCTGGATCTCTTCTTCTGCTTGTGATCTCACCTTTGCTACTACCAGAAGCCACAGTTATAAAGGAAAGATTATTGACAGGGAGGGTCAGTTTTGTGGTTGGGTTAATTGAACCGGTTCTCCCTGTTATTACACGTGTGCAGGGCAGTATCCTTGTACAATAAAGGAAATGGGAAAGGGAGCTCCACATTTGGAAGAAGTCCTTATTTTTAATTTTCTTTTCAATCCCCCTTGATAAGGCAGTGAGGTTTTAGGGGCAGATGGCAGGACTTGTAGTCTGTCAGCAGAGATGAATAGGTATCCCAGCTCTGTGATGTTCACCTTCCCAAATCCTTCCAATTTCTTGTCAGAGCTGGTCTTCCTACCATCTCCCTGCATTGGGTCTAATTAAGCATTTAATTGCCTCCACTGGAAGAACAGAATAGAAATTTATCTGCCTGCAGGATACTCTGTATGAGTTACTGCATCCAATCATGAAGCCTACCCAGATCAGCCATTTCTCCCAGACACAAAATGGACAGGCAGTCCTTAACCTATTCTAGAAGTGAAGTGTTTCAAGTGCAAGGCTGGCAAATGAACACAGAGAGCACTGTGCCTCTTTGAACCCAGGGGTGTCAATGCTAATCAGTGCCTGAAATAAGTAGGGCCAGGCTTGCTGAACTGAATCAATTAATTCCACAGGAGACCCCCAGCCTTTGATGCAGCAAACAGATCATTTGGCATCATTGGCAGCCTTTAGTCTAGTTATTGTCTGCAAGAATAAAAGGGGAACATAGATACTCTCTTTAATCTTCCATGCTTGGTGTTTAGGTTATGGGAGACAAGTGTAGTTGGTTCATAGCAGGCGTGAAGATGCACTCCTGAATCGTCTGGTGTTTGTGAAATTTCTCCTTCTATCCACCACGTCCTGGTGCAATTTGTTCTTGGTGTTATTCAAACTTTCTGTTGCTTCTCCCTATATCTTTCTCTTTCCTGCCCGACTTTGGGGATTGGCAGCTGAATGTATTTTAAAAACTGCTGTGAAATTTCTTGGGGCATTTTGAAAGTTTGCTTAATTTCTTCAAGAAAATGGGGAAAACACTTCTCAAATGGGATGCCTGTGATTATATAGAAAAGTTTTTAGAGCCTTTAGAAATTCAAGATGTACTGTACTACATTTTACATCCTCAAATCTCCCTTCTCTTCCCCTACCATTCCATTTCTGTATAATAAAAAAAGCAGTTACTTTTCCATTGACATGTTTAGTTATTTTGCCTTATTTGCCTGCTTTTACTTTCTGATGTTCTGCCATTACTCTCTTAAAGTATTTGTTATCATATACAGTGGGGCAAAAAAGTATTTAGTCAGCCACCAATTGTGCAAGTTCTCCCACTTAAAAAGATGAGAGAGGCCTGTAATTTTCATCATAGGTATACCTCAACTATGAGAGACAAAATGGG